CTCGTGCACGCTTGCTGGAAGTCCAAGCCCCTCGCCCACAAAACCTCTTTTACTCCTTCTCTCCAACCTTTTCGAGGACAACCCCTACCCCGCCTTCCTTCCCCAACAGATTTATATGCTCTCCATGTCATTCTACTTTGATCCATTCTCTCTAAATGACCAAACCACCTCAACAACCCGTCTTCAGCCCTCTGACTAATACTTTTATCAACTCCACACCTTCTCCTAATTTCCACACTCCAAATTTTCTGCATAATATTTACACGACACATTGCCCTTAGACAGGACATCTCCACTGCCTCCAACCGCCTCCTCACTGCAGCATTTACAATCCAAGCTTTACACCCATATAAGATGTTGGTACTACTATACTTTCATTACATTCCCTTCTTTGCCTCCATAGAAAATGTTTTTTTGTCTCCACATATACTCAACGCACCACTTTCTTTTTTTCCTTCATCAGTTCCTTTAATTAACCTCATCCCTCATAAATCCATCTGCTGCCACATCAACTCCCAAATATCTGAAAACATTCACTTCTTCCATACTCCTCCTCCCCAATTTGATATCCAATTTTTTCTTTATCTAAATCATTTGATACCCTCATCACCTTACTCTTTTCTATGATCACTTTAAACTTTCTACCTTTACACACATTCTCAAACTCATCCACTAACCTTTGCAATTTTTCTTTAGAATCTCTCATAAGACAGTATCACCCAGCAGAAAGTAACTGTGTCAATTCCCATTTTGTATTTAATTCCCCATAATTTTAATCCCACCGCCTCCCGAACACCCTAGCATTTTACTTCTTTTACAACTCCATCTATAAATTTTTAAACAACCATGATGACATTACACATCCCTGTCTAAGTCCTACTTTTACCGGGAAAATAGTCTCCCTCTCTTCTACACACCCTAACCTGAGCCTCACTATCCCATAAAAACCTTTACAGCATTTAGTAACTTACCACCTATTCCATATACTTGCAACATCCGACTTACGACCTGCTCGACATATACCAAGCTGTGTTGAATTAATCCTTATGTAGCTTTAAAAACTGAAACATAGGTGCCTGCATCAAGGTATGCCAGGTGGAGGCACCTAACATACTTTAATAAAAAAAGTAATACCCTACTCTGTTGGGTACTTCAGTAAGAAAAAAAGGGTATGCGGGGCCTAACAATTTGTAATGGAACATCTCAGTTCCCTGCAGCTACTGGCTGTCATAAGTGCCTTCTAGGCTTGTGTGTGGATGGATTTGTGTCCGTGGTCCTCCCTGTGCTGTAGGGTTTCTTGAGGCCGAGTTTGTCTGAATTTTTGTCTACTGACGAATTAATATCGGCACAAGTATGTTGCAGACATGAAAGAATTGCACAGATCATTGGATAACATAAGGCAGGCCATCAAAGGAAGGAAACAGAAGAAGTCATTGACGTGTGAGAGTTCAGCGAAGACCTGGTTGCACTGGTTCCTTGAGGACGTGTTGATGACATGCCCACACAAAAGCATGCCCCAAGGAAGCCTAGAAAAATATCCTCACTATTCTTAACTGTAATAAGGTACCTAGAATTGTACCGAGAATTGCTTTGTGATGATTTCCCGTAATCTTTCATGCAGTGTGGTGTAAAGATATTTGTTTAAGACAGTGCTCCTTGCAACAACTCAAAATCTGTTGTTCACTAGCTCTGTGACAATGAGGTGCCCTTCTTTGGAATGACAGGTCAGGAAGTTCCCAGACCTGAACCCCATTGAGAATCTGTGATAAAGTGAGATCTACTAGAGAAAGGATATCAGCCCACTCCCATGGCTGGAGGCCTCCATCTACAAGATGTGGGGGAATTTACCCTATGAAACCCTGAAAAAATGTATTAATCACTTCTTAGATGAATTGAAGTATGTACATATGTTCTAAAGTGAAATGGATGACCTATCTTGGGGTTTTGAGAGGGAAAGGGGGTAAAACATACTTTAAACAAAAAGTGCTGTACAGGCATAACTTGTTAATACAGCAGGCTAGGTTCCAGACCACCACCATAAAGCAAATATTGCTTTAAAGTGAATCTCATCCTTTTTTTTTTTTTTTACTTGTCAGTGCATTTAAAAGCCTAAAAGCATGTTTACCTATCATTTATTAAGGTGTGCAATAGCACTAGGATTTAAAAAACAATGCAGCAGTAAAAATAATAAATTAAAAAATGCTAAAAACTGTCTTAAGAGCAAGGCAAGTGCCAAGCCGAAAATAATGAACATGAATATAACTGAAAAGCACCGTATTAGCGAAGTGCTCTAAAGTGAAGCACCTTAAAGTGAGGCATGCCTGTAGTCCTCTCTAACACCTCTTTTGTTAATCACATTTCCAGCATTCTCTCCAATACCAAATTCAAAATTTTTCCACCACTGTTTCCACTATAATCATAAACATTACCAATAAGGGACACCAGCAAGTCTAAATCACAGCAGGGGTATACATAATCATTTGCAATATCTGTGACCAAATATATGTGGAAGAAACTTCAAGAGACCTCCATACATGTATTTCTCAATGCCAATACACTATCAGAATGGACCACTTGAATAACACCTTGTTTCACACAAACTTCCACAACCACTTGATCAGTTACAAGAGTTCACTGTCAAAGAGACACTTCAAAATGCAGAATCCTGAAATAAACACGACTCAGTAAACAAAAAATTTCAACCTTAATAATGGTTTTTACAACATAGCTGAGCCTTTTTCCAGGAAGCTTCTAGATTGGTGCCCCATATAGCAACAAAAGAAGCTTTAAAGCTACTGAAAGATTTCAAATTCAAATTCACATTTATTTATTTATTTATTTTGCAAGTAATACATTGAGGTTATGTATTTGCAAAGAGAGCCTCTATTATGCCTAGGCATTATGGGCTGACTTAATTTAATGGCTTACCGACTACTTAACATTAGAGAAATTTATCATAATTGTACAATAGTTCTATTTATTATAAATGAATCTAATTTATATAAACCAAAGGATATATTCATATTTTCAAAAATGTTTTTTATGAAACATGATTCAATTATATTCCTGTTGACAGTGGACAATAGGTTCAAAAGTAATTATTGAAATTATATTATGGGAATATAACATTGTGATTTGCTAAAAGTTTTAAGTTTACAGTATGAGAATGCTACAATCTGGTGTAGGGCACTACTGTTTTGGGTAGGTATTTATATTACTATGTAGTATTAGTCAATGTACGAACTTAGTCGTCTAGTCTTGAAGTTTTAAGATTTAGGTGATTGGGAGATTTATTGGTAAAGTTAGTATTTAGTCTAGGGTGATTAAGTGGCTTTTGAGAAGAGTCTTAAATTGATTTTCAGACCAGGTTTCTGGTCTGAAAATCAATTTAAGACTCTTCTGGTAATGAATTCCAAATTTTGGGGCCCTTTATGTGAATAGAGTTTTTTACACAGTGTGATATGGACACAGGTACATAAAAAAGAGATCTGTGTCTTGGTTTTGGTCGTGGGGTCCTGTTAAGGTTGGTGAGGAGAAGTCTGAGTGGGGGGGTTTATGTTTGTGTGTATGTTCTATGTATGTAGTAGGCACATGAATAAGTAATGGATGTTATTAGGGTAAGCAGATTTAGACTTTTGAATATTGGTGGGGTATGCTGTGGGGAGTGGGAATTTGTTATCATTTTGACTGCAGCTTGAACTTGCCCTTGCTATGCCTCCTATGTGTGTGCTTATCTGGGTTTTTCATATATGTATAATTTTGAAAAAGCCCACGGAGTGGGAAAAACATCATCAATAGAAAAACTCATATTATACCGCATTTGTGTTATTTCGAACCAATAAACTTTTTAAACTTCTTTCCCCACGGTTCTTTTTATAAAAACAAGGTTCCTGCTATTATCTGCATTTGCACAATAACAATTTCTCGCATGCCTAATCAATGTAATATTTTACTTTATTTCTTCTCAAAGATAACAGGTGTACCATCCACAAGGATAAAAAAAGTTCTGCCATCAATGTTTAGCCATTTCTTAAAAATTAAATTTTTTGTTTATACCACTGTATATTTTTTTTATCAATAAGCAGTAGCATGAAAATACAATACATCAAAAGTTTTGCTGCAGTTATCACTTTACTCCATAAAGTGAGAAAGTGCTACAGAAAGGGGCCCCTTCAAAAGGGGTGTCCTGTTGCTAGTGAAGGCTCTTGATCCAAGGAAGGGACTTCCTTCTCTCTCTTGGATCAAAAAAATGGTTACCTCCCAGTCCCCCAGTACTGTATGATCTACACAATGTGCACAAAATAAAGTGAGAATAATTGCTAGTAAGGATACTAAAACAAGAATAATTGTAGGATTTGCCTTGAAGATATTTCTTAGGGTGACATAAAGTGACCTGTAGGGAGCGGGCCCAGGAGTATGGGGGGGGCTGCATCATTAAAGAAAACTAAATCATAAGGCAATACTCTATAGCAAAGTTAAGGGTTTTATGGAGTCTTAACAGCCATTGTTGTAAAGTTAGCTCCATATATATTAATGCTTTCACTGTGTAATCTGATTTTCTTGTAATTTTTTATCAAATATATATGCCCCCTTTGTTTGTGAACAGTTCCATGCTATTGAATCGATGTATGTATGTAGCAGTAATACAAATTATTATTGATATACAGAATTATTATATTATAATTTTTATTCCCATTTCAAAAGGCACCACTTTTCCATGTATTGAATTAAAATGAAATATAACTGCAGCAATTCAGGGTCATCAGTTAGCCAAACTTGATTTCCATGAGGTGGGAAGTATAGGCCTGAACTCTGGGGGAGATCTGGGCCATTTTATTACAATACTGCACACCTCTGATAAGACAACTTTTAGTGAGGGTGAATGTTTCCTCTTTGTGTTACCCCCCCCTCAGTGAGAGACAGTTGGTATGTTACAAACAAGTAACTGAACAAAATACTGAATAATAATTTAAATTAAATAATTTGTATTTTCTTTGCAGTCAATATTTGATCAGCTTGATGGACGGGAACTACAGAGAGCTCGATCACGAAGTAATCCCTTTGAAACACTCGGGAAACTTTTCTTCCAAAACAGAGCTGCTCTCAAGATGGCTAACATGGATTGTGTGTTTGACTTTATGTTTACAAGGCCCAAGAATGAAGCTGGGGTAAATACATTGCAGTTTGTAATAAAATAAGTGTTCTGAATGTGCACCTCAACTTACAATGGGGTTACGTTCTGATGAACCCATTGTAAGTTGAAAATATTGTAAATCAAATATGAATATGTTATTTATTTATTTATTTATTTATTTATTTATTTATTTATTTAAAAATTTGAGCACACATACAGAGGTACAAAAAATACAGATAAGAGCAGCATGCCAAAGCCACTTATACTATCCCATAGCATTACGGGCTGGCTTAAAATTAACTTAAGATGAACTAAGCAATGATGACATCAGTGATAAAACTTTAATGTAAACAGATTACTATAAAGCACAAGTGAGTATTACAAAGACAGGTCATATGGTTGTATGCATTGTTGTACATTCAGTAGAATGGAGTATTCTGTTAGGTAGTGTATTTAAAAAATAATAAAATTAGATTGGGTTTTAGGTTTAACATTTATGTGATATAATTGTGAGAAACATTTAAAATATACAATTTATAAGGTTTTAGTTATTCAGTATTTATTTGGTTTTGGGTGAGTAAGTGATCTTTGAGAAGAGACTTGAATTATAAACAGGTAGTGTTTCTTTTAATTTACAGGTAATGATTCCAGATTTTAGGGCCTTTTATGTGCATTGAGTTTTTGCATAGTGTGAGATGGACACGAGGAACATCAAAGAGTGACTGTGCCTTGTGTTTTGGTCATGTGTTCTGTTGAGGTTTGGCAAAAGGGGAAAGTTTTAGGAGGGTTAATATCAGAGTTAAGTGTTCTATGTTGTAATAGGTGCAGTAATAATATGGATGTTTGTATGGTGAGTAGGTTTAGTGTATTGAATATTGGTGGAGTGTGCTGCCTATAGTGAGAATTTGTTATCATTCTAACTGCAGCCTTTTGTTGGGTAATTAGTGGTCTGAGATGGTTACTTGTTTTTGAGCCCCATGCACAAATTCCATAGGTGAGATAGGGGTAAAAAAGAGAGTGATATGGGCCAGGAGGGCTGACTGTGGAGCATAGTACCGTATCTTCGATAGTATGCCTACAGTCTTGGAAATTTTCTTAGAAATTTGTTGTATATGTGTATGAAATTTGAGTCTATTATCAAGGTGGATTCCTAAGAATTTTCCCTCTGTTAGCTTTGTGATACGTGATCCGTTTATCATTATGTTAAGAGGGACATCTGTAGCTCTGTTACCAAACTGAATGAAGTAGGTTTTGTCAATGTTTAGTGTAATGATAAATAAACAAGTAAATAAATACAGTAGACCGTTATATTACACATTTATTTGCCACACTTTGGTTATTACACTATTGAAAAACTGTGGCTTAATTTTATTCAACACTTCGTAAAATTAGCTTAACACTTCCATTTGCGGGCAAGGAAAAAAATCCCCAGCTCAGGCTTCCGCCTGGCTGTGGGTCAAACCAGTGTGTCAGCAGGGAAGATCTATTGCCATCCACTGCCACCCCCGACACCAACATCCCAGCCTTTGTGCAAAAGCATCTAGTACAATTCTCTCTTAGGAGCTAGCTGTGTTGTGAACTGAGTTTTGATCTTTTAATTGCCATATCTTGTATCTGCCAGGCAATCATGGCACCCAGTAGGCATACGAGTGTTGTTGAAAGTAGCAAGAAAAGGTATAAGCGTTTAAGTCTTGGAGTTATGAAGAAAAGATAGATATTAGACGAGAGAGCCAATGACCTTAACGAAGCATTAGTTTGTACAATTAAAAAGAATGAGGTAAATATACAAGTTTGTGTATTGAATAACCCAGGATGTCATCTCACTGACTTACTGACTGACTAACTTACTTGACTGACTGACTGACTTGACTTGACTTACTTGTCTGACTGACTTATTTATTTGACTGACATGGCTAACTTATTTGACTGACATGGCTGACTTATTTGACTGACTGAGTGATTTAGTGACTTCACTTTACTGACGTACTGACTTAAAGTTAGACTTTTTCACTGAAGAGGACCCTGACAAATCTAGAAGCAGTGCTCTGAAACGGTGTCTAGAGCAGCTGATGGCTTACCATCAGCTGTATGATGTACTGCAGGGTAAAATAACCCAAAAATCCATTACAGAATTTATGCACACACTAGTGCATGCATGCACACGCACATGCACACGCACATGCACACACACATGCACATGCACATGCACACGCACACGCACGCACACACACACACACACACGCACGCACACACACGCACACACACACGCGCGCACACACACACGCACACGCACACACACACACACACACACACACACACACACACACACACACACACACACACACACACAGAGGAAGACAGTAATGAGCCAAGGTATGTGGCAAGGTATCAGAGTGGTGCCTGTGATAAGTGGGGTTCCACAGGGGTCAGTCCTAGGACTGGTGCTGTTTCTGGTATTTGTGAATGACATGATGGAAGGAATAGACTCAGAAGCATCCCTGTTTGCAGATGATGTGAAGTTGATGAGAAGAATTCAGTTGGATGAGGACCAGGCAGAACTACAAAGGGATCTGGACAGGCTGCAGGCCTGGTCCAGCAAATGGCTCCTAGAGTTCAACCCCACCAAGTGCAAAGTCATGAAGATTGGGGAAGGGCAAAGAAGACCGCAGACAGAGTACAATCTAGGGGGCTAGAGACTACAAACCTCACTTAAGGAAAAGGATCTTGAGGTGAGTATAACACCAGGCACATCTCCTGAGGCACACATCAATCAAATAACTGCTGCAGCATACAGGGGCCTAGCAAACCTAAGAACAGCATTCCGACATCTCAATAAAGAATTGTTCAAGACCCTGTACACCGTGTATGTTAGGCCTATATTGGACTATGCAGCACCAGTTTGGAATCTACACCTAGTCCCAAACACGTTTAAAGGGAAACTAGAGAAAGTGCAAAAGTTTGCAGGAAGACTGGTCCCGGAGCCAAGAGGCGTGTCCTATGAGGAGAGGTTAAGGGAAATCGACCTGACGACACTGGAGGACAGGAGAGATAGGGGGATATGATAACGTCATATAAAATACTGAGAGGAATCGACAAGGTGGACAGAGACAGGATGTTCCAGAGATGGGACACAGCAACAAGGGGTCACAGTTGGAAGTTAAAGACTCAGATGAATCACAGTGATGGTAGGAAGTATTTCTTACGTCACAGAGTTATCAGGAAGTGGAATAGTCTGCGAAGAGATGTAGTAGAGGCAGGATCCATACATAGCTTTAAGAAGAGGTATGATAAAACTCATGGAACAGGAAGAGCGCTCACACGTACAAACACACACACAGATAGATCTGGACATGCTACAGACCTAGTCTAACAAATAGCTCCTGGAATTTAATCTCACAAATTGAGAAATTATGAAGCCTGGGGAAGGACAAAGAAGATTGCAGACGGAGTACAGGCTCAGGGGGCAGAGGCTGCAAACCTCATTCAAGGAGAAGGACTATAGGGTGAGTATCATACTAAGCACATCCCCTGAGGCACACATCAACAAAATATCTGCTTCATCAGATGCATGTCTTGCAAATCTAAGGATAGCTTTTCAACATCTTAAGTAATTAGTTGCTCACTACACTCTTACACCATGTACATCAGGCCTATATTGGAGTACACAGCATCAGTATGGAATCCACACCTGGTCAAATATATCAAGAAATTGGAGAAAGTGCAGAGGTTTTTCAGCAAACTAGTCCCACAACTGAGGGGTATGTCCTATGAGGAAAGGTTAAGGGAACTCAACCTGATGACACTAGTTGACAGGAGGGCTGGGGATGATATGATAACAATGTACAAAATACTGAGAGGAATTCACAAGGTGAACAGGGATAGCACATTTCAGAAATGGGAAATAGGAACAAGAGAGCATAGCTTGAAGTTGACAGGAAATTTAACAATCTGGAGAGTGAAGTGGTAGAGGCTCTTGAAGCCTGGAAAGAGTGGACCTAGTAGTGACCAGCGAAGAGGTGGGACCAGGAGTTGTAACTCAACCCCTGCAGCCACATATAGGTGGGTACAGGCACAAAAAAAAGGGAGGATATGCTCCGAGTCCATTCTAGGTACCTAGTACGTAATAATAATAATTAATATAATAAGTACTCCATTTGAAAAAAAAATACCTGGACTGTATATATTTTTGGGGGGTAAAATAAAGCAGGAAATATGAATTTGTTTTCTGATTATGGCATTTAATTGAATCCTTTATAAGACTGCCAAAGTAAAATTCACTTAAACTATTTCAAATTCAAAATTTTATTTCTTTGCCAAGTTTATAATGTGTAACTAACATGTTATAAGGAGTCTATTTCCATGCATAGTTTACAATGTTTAATTACAATATTGATTTGCAAGTGCAAAGAAAGCCACTATCATGCCGAGGCATTATGGGCAGACTAAACCTAATAGTATACTTACAGACTATACTTAATACAGGTCGGCCATCACTAATCCGGCAATCAGTTATCTGGTTCCATCAGTAATCTGGCACTAATTTCAGCTAGCATAATTTCAAATTTCATCATTATACTGACTCAGAAATTCTGCAGATGGCTGTAAATCCACAGCAGAAAGCCAGTGGAGAAAGTGATGAAAATGAGGAAGATGTAGCAGAAAGAGTCTATTGATAGGTTAATAAAGTGTATTCTAACTTAACCAATTTGTAATCTGGCAAACTCACTAATCCGGCATACTACAGGTCCCAGTGATGCCGGATTAGTGATGGCCGACCTGTATATATGTCTTAGTTGGTTCAAATTGATCAGTGATTTTTTTATATATCAACAGAGGCAGTTGGAGTACGTATTAATTTTAGCACATGGCAAACTTAATATCAGCTAAGAATGTATCCTCAGTTAACAGATTAGTTCTCTAGAATGTATCCTCAGTTAACAATTTCTCTAAAATGTATCCTTAGTTAACAATCTCTTTAGAATGCATCCTGACTTAATGAGTGATTTCTCAGCAATGCACCCTGGTTGTTAAATGGGGCCACACCATTTTCCTAATTTACAATAACACATGAGAGTAAAAAGTATAGCTACAATATATGGACATCTTTTTAAACACTTTTCATGGTATGGCTAGGATTCAAACCTATAGCTAGCCAAATTTAAAATTAACAAACCAGTGCTAGTTTTAGGACTGGCTTAGCTTGGGCTTGAATTTTGCCCACTGCACAAGTTGTGTACAATTGTACACAAATAACCCATAGACAGGAGAAAGAAACTTATGATGACATTTTGGTCCATCTTGGACCATTAATAAGTTAAAGTATTGTGCCTTTTTATTCTTTGTGTACAACTGTTATTACAATTTCCTGAGTCTATTTAAACACTCTGTTCTCTGACTTTTTTTTTTTTTTAATTATTTCTAGGAAACTCTAATTGGTCCAGAAGATTTACTGTATTTTGCTGATGTGTGTGCAGCCCCTGGAGGGTTCTCAGAGTATGTATTATGGCGCCGGAAAACAGACTCTGGTGGTTTCTGTGATGCAAAGGGCTTTGGTTTTACCCTTAGAGAGAATGACTTTAAACTTCATGACTTCTTTGCTGCACCAGCAGAGTTTTTTGAACCTCATTATGGTAAGTTTTTTATGAAGTGTGTTACATGCATTAATATTTCTACATTTGTATTGTTACATTTTATTCTGTATAGTGATTTCATAGCTACAGTATAACCAATTTTCTTGCTGTTATGTACTGTATTCTAACTTTTTTATTTAACCATAGAAAGATATATGCACAGTGGTACCTTGACTTACGAGTTTAATTCATTCCGTGATTGAGCTCGTAACTCAATTTGCTTGTATATCAATCAATTCTCCTCTTTGAAATTAATTGAAATGCCATTAATACGTTCCAGCCCCCCAAAAGCCACCCCAATTTCTTGGTTTCAGGCTTTTAAATAAGAAAAATGTATTTATAAATAAGAAATATTGTATACTCCACCACCACTTTCACTACTACACCTACCACCATCTCTACTACACCCACCACCATCTCTACTACACCCACCACCATCTCTACTACACCCACCACCATCTACTACACCCCCCCACCATCTCTACTACACCTACCACCATCTCTACTACACCTACCCATCTCTACTACCCACCACCATCTCTACTACACCACCACCATCTTACTACACCACCACCATCTCTACTACACCCACCACCATCTCTACTACACCCACCCCCCTCTCTACTACACCCACCACCATCTCTACTACACCACCACCATCTTACTACACCACCACTCTCTACTTTCACCCACACCATCCTACTCACTACCCATCTCACACACCCACCACCATCTCTACTACACCCACCACCACTCTACTACACCCACACCATCTCTACTACACCACCACCACTCTCTACACCCACCACCATCTTACTACCCACCACCATCTCAACTACACCACCACCACCTACTCACCTACCACCTTCCTATTCCACCCACCAATCAGTACTCACCCACCACCTTCACTATCTACAACCCACCTCACTCCACCACTACCATCTCTACTCACCTACCACCTCCACACCCCACCACCCTCACTACTACACCCACTTACCATCTCTACTAACACCTACTACCCTCACTACACCCAATCCTTATCTACTCCACCCACCATTATGACTACTCCATCCACCACATCACTACTCCACCTACCATTATCAGTACTCCACCCACCATTATCAGTACTCCACCCACCATTTATCAGTACTCCACCCACCATTATCAGTACTCCACCCACCACCATTATCACTACTCACACCCACCCACCATCACTACTCCACCCACCACATCACTACACCCACCACTATCAGTACTCCACCCACACCATCACTACTCCACCCACCACTATTACTACTCCACCCACCACTATTACTACTCCACCCACCACTATTACTACTCCCCCACCACTATTACTACTCCACCCACCACTATTACTACTCCACCCACCACTATTACTATGCCACCCACCACTATTACTACTCTACCCACCACCATCACTACTCCACCCACCACTATTACTACTCCACCCACCACTATTACTACTCACCCACCACTATTCTACTCACCCACCATCACTACTCCACCCACCACTATTACTACTCCACCCACCACTATTAACTACTACACCCACCACTATTACTACTCACCCACCACATCACTACTCCACCCACCACTATTACTACTCCACCCACCACTATTACTACTCCACCCACCATATACTACTCCACCCACCATTATGACTACTCCACCACCATCACTACTCCACCCACCACCATGATGACTCCACCCACCACTATTCACTACTCCATTTGCCACCATCACTACTCCACCCACCATTATCAGTACTCCACCCACATTATCAGTACTCCACCCACCACTATTACTACTCCACCCACCACTATTACTACTCTACCCACCACCATCACTACTCCACCCACCACTATTTCTACTCCACCCACCACTTTTACTACTCTACCCACCACCATCACTACTCCACCCACCACTTTTTACTACTACACCCACCACTATTACTACTCCACCCACCCCCATCACTACTCCACCCCCCGCTATTTATACTCCACCCACCATTTTTACTACTCTACCCACCACTATTACTACTCTTACCACCACCACACTACTCCACTCACCACTATTACTACTCCACCCCCACTATTACTGCCCCACCCACCACTATTACTATTTCTACCCACCACCATCACTACTCCACTCACCACTATTACTACTCCACCCACCACTATTACTACTCAAACCCACCACTATTACTACTCAAACCCCACCACCATCACTACTCCACTAAACACTATTACTACTCCACCCACCACTATTACTGCTCCACCCACCACTATTACTACTCTACCCACCACCATCACTACTCCACCCACCACTATTACTACTCCACCCACCACTATTACTACTCTACCCACCACCATCACTACTCCACCCACCACTATTACTACTATACCCACCACCATCACTACTCCACCCACCACTATCACTACTCCACCCACCTTAATGTTTCTGGAAAAATTCTGAGTGATGAAATGGAAGTTACCTCTTCCCCAGAATTATACGAGAACCAAACAAGGGACGAAGTGCCTCACTACAGTCTGGGATCAGTGTGGGAGTATTATTCTTCCAGTTATGTCTTGGAAGAGCATGTGGGATGGGACGAAGCACCTGACATTCCTCTTGGCAAAGAGTTGGATTTGACTTCAGATACACTGTCAACTAATGGCGGAGTATGTGAAGCTCGCTCGTAACTCGGAATTTGGCTTGCAGCTCAAAGCAAAAAAAAACCGAGTGATGGCTCATTACTCGGAAAACTCATAAGTTGGGGCACTCGTAAGTCAAGGTACCACTGTACTTTGAATTGAACACTATGTTGGATATTGCTCACTCTCAAGAATGTATTCTGCACACTAAGTGAAGGCTTACTCAGAAAGGATTTGGTTCATTGGCAGTATTGTGGGTGGGGATCCAGATTACAGTAGGGCCCCACTTATACGGCGGTTAGGTTCCAGCTGTCGCCCGGGAAAGCCAGAACTCGCCGGAAGGCAGACTCATTTTTTTTTTTCCATTTAAAAAATGCATATAAATGCCAGCAAAAAATTTTACACTAAACTATATTAAGTTAGTAATAGAACTAGGCATTAAAAAACACTCAAAGTAAAATACAGTCACAGTAAATTCATTACTTATCTTAAAGTATTTGTAATCTTAAGTAGGGAGAGAGGTGAGTAGTACTTATTTGTAGGAAGTCAAAGGGGCAAGGTAGCCCAGGTGTAGGTAGACTGGCTCCCCGTCTCATACTTAATATACGATATTTAAAAAAATCCCAGAGAGGTAAAATGCACATACAGTACACTCATTATTTACCTTAAAATTGTGTAGTCTTAATATAGAAAGAGAGGTGAGTAGTATTTTTCTTGTATAAATCAGCGTAGGTAGCCGGTAGGTGTAGCCGGTAGGTAGCCCGCCTGGGCTACACCTACCAGCTACCTACAATGTGGCCCAGAGCCATATTATTAACATTGACATGCCTTGTTCACTGAATTTAATCATTTCTAACAACTACCTTTAGATGCCATCATAAACGAAGGTAGAAAGTAATGAATAATTCATGCCGAAAATTGTAAACAAAAGCGGAGTGGGGGAGTGTCTGGGCCAAACGCAGATTCATACACGTTTTCTCTGATGGCTGAACAGAGAAAACGTAATGTTGTCCCTCCACCCAGCTCCACAAGTATTATTATCAGAGCATATAAAATATGCAATAAATGTCAGACAACAAGTTTAAAACTAACTTATATTAAAATAGCAATAGAAATAGGCATTAAAAACACAATAAAAGGTAAGTTACACACAGAGTACTTTTTTACTTACCTTAAAAAAATTAATATTAATGTGTGAAGATTTAGTGGAAGGGTGTTTATTGAATAAAATCAGATGGCACACCATCATCCTCTAAACTTGGCACTTAAAGCAAGAGGCTTACGACTTCTCTTTTTATTACAGCTAACCTTAGACGCCATCGTCAATGAGAGCCAACTAGTTAACGAAAGAGTAAATGAGAGAGAGAACGAGATACAGAGTTGAGACAATGTAAGAACACAAACTGAACAGGTAGTGGACGATCACTTGGTCAGGCGAAATAAATGTGTATTAATATGTGTCTACTTTTAGTTCATTCATGTCCATTTGTAAGAGTTTGTAAAACATTTACCTCAATATTTTTTTTTTTAATAATACAGTGGACCCCCGCTTAACGATAACCTCCCAATGCGACCAATTATGTAAGTGCGTTTGTACGTGTATGTTTGGGGGTCTGAAATGGACTAATCTACTTCACAATATTCCTTATGGGAACAAATTCGGTCAGTACTGGCACCTGAACATACTTTTGGAATGAAAAAATATCGTTAACCGGGGGTTCACTGTAATTACCTCACAATACAAATACAGTGGACCCCCCCATAACGATTACCTCCGAATGCGAAACCCAAATTTTGTAAGTGTAATTATGTAAGTGCGTTGTACGTGTATGTTTGGGAGTCTGAAATGGACTAATCTACTTCACAATATTTCCTGATGGGAACAAATTCGGGCAGTACTGGCACCTGAACATACTTCTGGAGTGAAAAAAAATATCGTTAACCGGGGGTCCCACCCGTACTCTTTCATTGTGTACAAGTTAGTTCAGAATAAACAAACAGCAACACATTTTTAGAGTGAATGAAGATAATAATAATATTATTATTATTATTATTATTATTAATGTTAATAATAATAATATTATTATTATTATTATTATTAATAATAATAATAATATTAATAATAATAATAATAATTATTATTATTATTATTATTATTTATTATAAGCACTAAACCCACAAGGGTCGTGAATTGCTATACATAGAGTAAAGGCATACGAAAAGAATATTTTTCTACAGTTACCCCCCAGTGTTTGACTAGAGAAAACGTAATTCTTCCGACACTACCTACACAGCTGCTTTGTAAACAAATCTCATATTTACATCAGTTTTTACTCTGTGAGTGTATGTATCATGTTTATATGCTATGTAATGGGTTTCATATATAATTTTGAGGAAAACAGAGGGATTAATGAAAATGCCTATATTGATGTAAAATAAGACATTTAGTGTGCCCAAGAGTGATTATTACGTAGTATTGGCATCATGAGTAGAGAGAGACTTAGCGTTTAATGTGTACCTGCACACCAGCACAGTGTGTAAGTATATTTAGGTACAGGTACACATAAATATAATTATCAGAATACATATAAAATATGCAGTAACTTTAAAACACTTGAAATTTTGGAAAGTTTCCTGACATAATAGATGTTGTCACGGAAAATGTAAACAAACCGGGTGGGGGGCGCCGTATTTGAAAGACCGCTTGCCGTATAGCAAATTTTGGTCATAATTTGACATTGCCGTATTAGCGGAACGCCGTAAGGTGAAACGCCATAAAGCGGGGCCTTACTGTACTTCATGCTAAAAGCAGATGCTCTTTAATTTGCTTTGGTAGTAAAAGGCAGTTTTTCATGTTTACCTGGAGTTTACCTGGAGAGAGTTCCGGGGGTCAACGCCCCTGCAGCCCGGTCTGTGACCAGGCCTCCTGGTGGATCAGAGCCTGATCCAAGAAAGTGATATTCCGTTGATACTCCGTTTAATTGTAACACAAGAGTTGATAGAAAGTTGGTAGACAGCATTTAGCACAGGAGGTAGTATCTTCCCATCATATGAGTAAATGAAAGTTTTTTTTTTTTTTTTTTGTGCACTGACTAAGGTTTTCGTCTTTTCTTTTTGTCTCATGAACATGTAAGAAGAAGGGTAAATCTTGCAATCTTTTACTTACATTCAGTACATGCCTGTTTGCTTTCCTGCATTTTTTCATGGTTTGTATTCCTGTAATATCTCCGAGACCAGCGTTGAGGCGGCAATGATCCACAAACCATCAATATGTATTAACATAGGATTGTTAAATCTTTTGTCTAGCTAGATAGTAAATGGTACCTTGTGCTAAATTAAAAGACAGCTTTGGTCATCCTTAAAGAACAACATCTGTATATTTCTACATTATTTAAGAAGCCCATAAATGCCAAGAATTCTAGTAGCCTTCTTACTCCTTGGCTTTGTGACACAGCTATTACTGAAAAAAGAGATGGTATAGCTTTTATTTGTCTGATTAGTTGGTAACCAGATCCTGTGTTTACACACACTACTCAGTCATACAAGGATAGTACTGTATTTGTATGTTTGATACAACTATAGTACAGTATGTACTTTGTACCCAGCCCATCATATCCTGTACTTTGTACTCAGTCTATTACATGCTGCACTTCATACTTAACTGATCACATCATTGTCTCTTTACTCATCGTGATCTTACAACACTTAACAAGTTCAGTGGCACCAGTCTTGTTGCTAAATTTGGTTGCTTCTTATTTTCATTGAAAATTGCGTATTGCATAACAATGATATAGTGGTTCTTGCCAGCCTTTCCTTCACATTTTTTGGTCAGTGCATTTCTTGTAGTACATTCAAGGTAACCGTAAGGTAATGAATTACTTCTTTATCGTAGGAACTACGTTCCATCTAGAGCTCCTTAACCCTTTGAGGGTCTGTCCTGTAGATCTACAGCTTTGAAGCCAGGGTCCGAACCATAAATCTATGCCATGAGCTCAGCTCGCTCAGATAAAATGCAGGCAGTAAATTTGGACCTAGATATGAGAGACATCTATGTGTTAAGTGTGCACCACATAAAACAAATCCTGCAACAAGCAGTGCATAATGAGAGAAAAAAACTGCGACCATAATTTTGGATTAAAACAGCGACATTGTGGTGTTTTTTGTATGTTTCTAACCGTTGTATTCACAATTTCTTGGTCTTCATTGATAGAATGGAAGATATGTTACAGAAATAGAGATGATTTTGATTGGTTTTAGTACTGAAAATGGCTTGAAACTGAGCTCAAAGTAGTGGGAATGTTAAATTTTTGCCAATGTTCAAGAGTAAACAAATGTCATCACAAGTGTAATACGCATCTGTTGGTGGGTCTAATATACGTTCATAAATGTGCTGATATTATTTATACAATTATTACAACATTGCATAACAGTAAATCTATTTTTTGGTGTGAATGAAAATAATGTGAATAAAAAATCAAAATGGAATTCATTTGTAAAGCCTGAAAACATAACTAATAAACAGAGGAAATGTTAGTTTAGTGCCAGGAATGCCTGCTTTGTTCATTCAGGACCCTATTTTGAAATTGGAATATTTTGAACTTTGTGTTAAATTGGCCAAATTACCAATTTCCGATCACTTTATTGGGTAGTTGAAACAGTTGACTGGGCGATTTCTTGTGCTCAATCGATAAAATAAAAGTAATACTAGCGAAATAGCTAAGAATTTGGTCGACTGGAATGATGTAATTGACCTAAAATGGGAGTTAAAGTTAGCAAAATTGCTGATGCACCAAAATTCACGAGAGCATAATTTTGTCAGTTTTCCATCAAATTTTGTACTTTTTGCTTTATTACCTTCAGAAAAAGATTCTCTACCATTTCATAAGAAACAATAACAAAAAATTTTTTTTGGAAAATTCTTGGACCCTGGCTGTCACACTGAAATTTTGCCTCTGGACCCTCAAGGGGTTAATATAGTAGCTCTTAGCTTTTCCTACATTATCCCTAGAATTAAATTTTTCCTCATTCAATTTTCACCAGGTATAAATGGGCAAGAGGGTGATGGAGATGTGTTTAAGCCAAGCAACATTACAAACTTTGTTAAGTTTGTACGAACGACGACTAAAGGAAAAGGTGTTCACTTCATGATGGCAGATGGAGGGTTTAGTGTTGAGGGCCAAGAGAACATACAAGAAATATTATCAAAACAGTTGTATCTTTGTCAGTGCATAGTTGCATTAGGAATAGTGAGAACAGGTATGTTGGTCTTGCTGTATCAACTTTAATGAATTCATTTACATTAAATGCTGAAAATAAGTTATTTAAAAAAGGCATGAAATTTGAGATGTGATGAACAAAACTTGAATTGTTTCTGTCAAGTGCATTCTCACTTTATGAACTGAAAGCTGTATAGTCCTTGTGGCTTAGCGCTTCTTTTTGATTATAATAATAATATGAACTGAAAAACATTGTGATGATGATGATTTCTACAAGGAGTATTGCACGAGTCATGTAGTTGTATTGTAACCACACCAATATGAATCAAAATGCATTACATAGTTAAAAGTATGTTTTATAAAATATCCTTCTATATGCATTACAAGGTTCATTGCAAAAAAAATAAGAAACCTTGTTTTACCATATATTTCAACATTTCAGTGAGGTTGTAAGTGGATTGTAACATACTGGAAATTTTAGATTTTAATGCCATTTGCAGCATTTATTGGTAGTGCATTAATATACTAAGTACCTTGAGCTACTGTAATAGCTTTTTATGAAATTTGATGCTAAATATTCCACAAAGATGTCTTCACATACTGTAGGTATAATTAAAATATTTGATGATTTATTATTTATAGTTATTTCTTATACACATGTATACTTGCTTATATCAAAGTCTGATTTCAGATGGCCATTTTGTGTGCAAACTTTTTGATGTGTTCACAACATTTAGTGTTGGCCTAGTGTACCTGATGTATCGCTGTTTTAAATATGTTTGTCTCCATAAGCCCAACACAAGCAGACCTGCAAATTCAGAAAGGTAAGCTTTCTAACTTGGTTAAAGACATGAATAAATCTCTTTCTGTGGGTACTAAAAACCGGTGAATAAAAAAAAAGAAAAAAAAAACACTTTTAACCCCTCCCTCTAACCTTTCCTATGATGACACTAACCCTCCTTCCCTAAAACTCAGATTCATACTCCCACCTAGTCATCCTATTTTTCTCTATCCCCTTTAAATATTCAGACCAGCTCAACAGCATCTCCTCAGCCCTTTGAATAATACTTTTAGTGACTCCGTACCTCCTCCTAATCTCCAAACTCTGAATTCTCTGCATAATATTCACAACACATATTGCCTTCAAACAAGACATCTCTGCCACCTCTACCCTTCTCCTTGCTGCAATATTCAAGTCTTGCTTCATGCCCATATTACATTGTTGGTACCACTGTACTCTGGTGCATTCCCTTTTTTGCCTCTAGAGATAATGGTCTTTGTCTTTTCAGATGCTTCAGTGCATTACTCATCTTTTACCCCTCAACAGTCCCATGGTTCACCTCATCTCTCATAGAACTATCTGTCAACAAGTCTACTCCCAAATATCTGAACACATTTACTTCCTCTTTCATGACCTACATTTTTCTGTGACCCTTATGACCTTGTTCCAACCTTGGAAAGAGCAAGGTCATGAGGGTAACAAAAAAAATTTAGTTAATGAAAGATTAGATATCAGATTGGATGGAGTGTGGAGAAAGTGAACGTGTTCAGATGTTTGGGAGTGAACTTGTCAGCAGATGGGTTTATGAAAGATGAGCTGAGCCATAGAATTGATGAGGGAGGGGGGTGAAGGTGAGTGGGGCACTGAGGTATCTGGGGAGATGAAGAATGTTATCCATGGAAGCAAAAATAAAAATATATAAGAGTGTAGTGGTACCAACACTCTTATATAGGTATGGAGCATGGGTTGCGAATGTTGTAGCAAGGAGGAGGTTGGAGGCAGTGGAGATGTTGTGTCTGAGGACAAAGTGTGGTGTGAATATTATGCAGAGAATGCGTAGTTTGGAGATTAGGAGGTGCGGGGCTACTAAAATTATTATCCAGGTTGGGAGGAGGAGGCAAAGGAGGCTTTGCATGCAATGGGCTTAGACATCCAGCAAGTGTATGTGAGCATGTTAAATAGGAGTGAGTAAAGGCAGATGGTTTTTATGAGCTGATGTGCTGTTGGAGTGTGAGCAAGGTAACATTTATGAAGGGAATTAGAAAACTGGTTAGCCAGACTTGATTTCTGGAGGTGGGAAGTACAGCACTTGCACTCTGAAGGAGGGGTGGGGATGTTTGCAGTTTTGGACTGTAGTATCAGCACCCCTCTGGCGAAACAAGTGATGAGAGTGAGTGACGGTGAAAATGTTTCTTCTTTTATGGGTCACCGTACCATGGTGGAAGGTGGCCAGTTTGTTGAAAGAAAAAATTTACTTCTTCCATACTCCCTCTCTCCAGTCTAATATTCAGGCCCTTATCACCTTGCTCTTTTCTGTGTTTACTTTTAATTTCCATTATTTACATTTTTTTTTTTTTTTTATTATCACACCGGCCGATTCCCACCAAGGCAGGGTGGCCCGAAAAAGAAAAACTTTCACCATCATTCACTCCATCACTGTCTTGCCAGAAGGGTGCTTTACACTACAGTTTTTAAACTGCAACATTAACACCCCTCCTTCAGAGTGCAGGCACTGTACTTCCCATCTCCAGGACTCAAGTCCGGCCTGCCGGTTTTCCTGAATCCCTTCATAAATGTTACTTTGCTCACACTCCAACAGCACGTCAAGTATTAAAAACCATTTGTCTCCATTCACTCCTATCAAAACACGCTCACGCATGCCTGCTGAAGTCCAAGCCCCTCGCACACAAAAACCTCCTTTACCCCCTCCCTCCAACCCTTCCTAGGCCGACCCCTACCCCGCCTTCCTTCCACTACAGACTGATACACTCTTGAAGTCATTCTGTTTCGCTCCATTCTCTCTACATGTCCGAACCACCTCAACAACCCTTCCTCAGCCCTCTGGACAACAGTTTTGGTAATCCCGCACCTCCTCCTAACTTCCAAACTACGAATTCTCTGCATTATATTCACACCACACATTGCCCTCAGACATGACATCTCCACTGCCTCCAGCCTTCTCCTCGCTGCAACATTCATCACCCACGCTTCACACCCATATAAGAGCGTTGGTAAAACTATACTCTCATACATTCCCCTCTTTGCCTCCAAGGACAAAGTTCTTTGTCTCCACAGACTCCTAAGTGCACCACTCACTCTTTTTCCCTCATCAATTCTATGATTCACCTCATCTTTCATAGACCCATCCGCTGACACGTCCACTCCCAAATATCTGAATACGTTCACCTCCTCCATACTCTCTCCCTCCAATCTGATATTCAATCTTTCATCACCTAATCTTTTTGTTATCCTCATAACCTTACTCTTTCCTGTATTCACCTTTAATTTTCTTCTTTTGCACACCCTACCAAATTCATCCACCAATCTCTGCAACTTCTCTTCAGAATCTCCCAAGAGCACAGTGTCATCAGCAAAGAGCAGCTGTGACAACTCCCACTTTGTGTGTGATTCTTTATCTTTTAACTCCACGCCTCTTGCCAAGACCCTCGCATTTACTTCTCTTACAACCCCATCTATAAATATATTAAACAACCACGGTGACATCACACATCCTTGTCTAAGGCCTACTTTTACTGGGAAAAAATTTCCTTCTTTCCTACATACTCTAACTTGAGCCTCACTATCCTCGTAAAAACTCTTCACTGCTTTCAGTAACCTACCTCCTACACCATACAGTTGCAACATCTGCCACATTGCCCCCCTATCCACCCTGTCATACGCCTTTTCCAAATCCATAAATGCCACAAAGACCTCTTTAGCCTTATCTAAATACTGTTCACTTATATGTTTCACTGTAAACACCTGGTCCACACACCCCCTACCTTTCCTAAAGCCTCCTTGTTCATCTGCTATCCTATTCTCCGTCTTACTCTTAATTCTTTCAATTATAACTCTACCATACACTTTACCAGGTACACTCAACAGACTTATCCCCCTATAATTTTTGCACTCTCTTTTATCCCCTTTGCCTTTATACAAAGGAACTATGCATGCTCTCTGCCAATCCCTAGGTACCTTACCCTCTTCCATACATTTATTAAATAATTGCACCAACCACTCCAAAACTATATCCCCACCTGCTTTTAACATTTCTATCTTTATCCCATCAATCCGGCTGCCTTACCCCCTTTCATTTTACCTACTGCCTCACGAACTTCCCCCACACTCACAACTGGCTCTTCCTCACTCCTACAAGATGTTATTCCTCCTTGCCCTATACACGAAATCACAGCTTCCCTATCTTCATCAACATTTAACAATTCCTCAAAATATTCCTTCCATCTTCCCAATACCTCTAACTCTCCATTTTAATAACTCTCCTCTCCTATTTTTTAACTGACAAATCCATTTGTTCTCTAGGCTTTCTTAACTTGTTAATCTCACTCCAAAACTTTTTCTTATTTTCAACAAAATTTGTTGATAACATCTCACCCACTCTCTCATTTGCTCTCTTTTTACATTGCTTCACCACTCTCTTAACTTCTCTCTTTTTCTCCATATACTCTTCCCTCCTTGCATCACTTCTACTTTGTAAAAACTTCTCATATGCTAACTTTTTCTCCCTTACTACTCTCTTTACATCATCATTCCACTATTTACATATTTACATATCCTCCCAAATTCATTTACCAACCTTTGTAACTTCTCTTCTGAATCTCCCAAAAGAACCATGTCATTGACTGTCAAAAAGCAACAGTGCACTCCCACTCAATCCCAAACCTCTCCCTAACACCCTAGCCATTCACTTGTTTTACAACCCCGTCTATAGATTATGTTAACCGTGGTGCCATTACACATCCCTGTCTAAGGCCTACTTTTACTGGAAAATAATATCCCTCTCTCCTACATACCTTAACCTGTGCCTCACTATCCACATAAAAGCTCTTGACTGTTTTAAGGAACCAGCCACCTATTCCATACATTTGCAACATCTGTCACACTGAAAGGAGAGCTGTATATTTTTGTCTACCACTGAGGCCCTCTTCACCAGATTATAGGTCTTTAGTTAGAAGCCAAAATATACAGCTCCCACATCACCCTGTGGTTTCATCTGTCACCTTGTGAAATTTTGTGTTATATTGATCAGTGCTGTTTGATCCCTAAGGGTTTAGCACTTCCCATTAATAGTACTCATCATACATTGCATAAATTGGGGGGAGGGGAGCTCATTTTAATTCTTTAATGTCCTCTAAAGTGCTTTTTCGAATTTTATACTTTAACCTTGAGCTTCTGATGGTTTTGGAACAAAAGGAAATAATTTTTTTTTTTTCAGGTATATTATTTGCAAATGGAAACGGGATGACGTAGACAATGTCTATAGATATCTGTTTGAAATGAATGAGCGACTCATAGGATTGAGTTCATCCATGGATGTGACAGAATTGGTACCTCTTGAGCACCTCAGAGCTGAGAAAGAATTCTTTGATTACATTTGCACATCAAATGATGAGTAAGTAGCTCTCACTCAATATAATAGTTCCAATTATATTTTCTATTTTTTTCTTAGATCTCAAGAATCTTGTAGTAGAGGTGGCATTCCTCATTAATTCTAATTGTATGTATGTATCTTCACACCAACTCCAACTTTAGAGATTCATCCTCTTTCCTGCTGGCCCTGCAACTTAAATCAGTGTCCCCATACTGCATAGAGCCAACATTGACATAGCAGCTGTCTCTTCTAAAACTACCAGATATAATTAGGGCCCAGCTCTTGCTGCCTTAAACCCAGTACAGTTGGTATCTACACATTATCTTGTAAAGAATGCAAAGTCCATGTTGGTGAAACTTCTCATGACCTCCTAAATAGAATGAGAACAGATATGCCTGTAGGGTACATCAAGTAATCTTAATATATTCCTCTATTAACCACAGAGACAAATCCAACCATCTCATGGACTGAGTCTCATCACACCCAAAAAAAAAAAAACATATAGGAGGAAGTGTATTTGTATTCCTCTTGGGTGTCATGGTTTCTATCCAGACGTGAGATGGGCCAGTGAAAAGACTAAAAGTCTATTCACTAACACACGAGTAATAATATAATACATGTTTATTTCTACAAGTACATGTACAAAGTATACAGGCCTTGGTGAGGTCAGTGACATACTACACAGAAAGCTGCTTGCTATACAGAGCATTTCAGGCAAATTAAGTCAATTTTGTCCCAGGATGCAACCCACACCAGTTGACTAACACCCAGGTACCCATTATTACTGATGGGTGAACATAGACAACCAGTGTAAGGAAACATGCCCATGTTTCTACTCTAGCCAGGAATCGAACTTGGACCCTCACTCTGTGAAGCAAGAGCTTTTGCCACCAGGCCACAGGCCACATAAGGCATGGGATGCTTATGCACTGAGAACTAGTGGTGTGGGAAGTTGATGACATTTTATATCTGCAGCCTCAGTGTTAAATCACAATTTATATTACAGTACTCGCTTCAGTGGTTTGTTGCCCCATGTGGGTTTATTTATCCCAAAAGAGTTAAGTATATAGACCATTAAAGGAAATATGTCATTTGTATTAATATTAACAATCAGTCCTTTGTTATAATTGTAGAACTTGAAGCTGGCATTAATGGTAAACACTCATTCTCAGTTGCTTTTCCTGAAACACTGCTAAGACTTTTTTTTTTAACACTGGCTGTTTCCCACCGAGGCAAGGTGACCCAAAAAGAAAGAAAAATACTTTCATTATCATTCAACACTTTCACCATCACTCATACATAATCACTGTGAAAAGAATTTTGGAGGTTGCTGCTACAACCTGGCCAGTATGCCTCTAAGACAAAATATTTTGATAAAATTATGAAGTTGCATTATGTCTTCAGTTTTGATAGGACTCCACATGATTGACTACTTAAAGGCATACACACACACACAACCAGAATGTCTTCTGGTTAAAATTTGTTAATGAATTTTAAAAAAATAACAATAACTCATACTTTTCTACACAAAGAAGACTTATGTAGTAATTTTGGAATGTTGTGTTTATCACTGGTTTTTAGTGGATGCTACAGCTGCCTTCATAAGAAAGTGTTAAGATTATTATTATATGTCAAAGCACTTGAACTATCTGCTTGAGCTTCAGGACAAAACTGATTAAACTTTGTCCTTTTAATTAAAGAAATAAAAAATGTAAGATCGTATTTCTTCCTTTGCAGGTTAGGGTTCCGTCAGATGGTGAGCTTGCGAAAAATTCAAATCTTTTGCCAGGATACTCAAATGATTGAAACACGACAATCAGACCTTCGTATCAAGTCTCTTGAGCTCTGGCAGTTGCCAGACAGAACTCGTATAGCACCACAGCGTTCAGAGGCAAAAGTAAAGTTTGTTGAACTAATAGATGGAGAAAACTGTGGTGAGTTAGGATTACCATATGAAGCCCTTCATTAATGGGCAATAATTAGTTGTTCAGTGTAATATTACTAAGTGCTGATGAATATATAAACAAAACACCACATAGGGCTGAGAATCTACCACCAATTATTAGCCACGTTGATAGTCATAAGTTAAGGGGAAAACTTTCATCCCAAAAATCTGTTTTTAAAAAGTCCTGCCATAAATATGAGGGTATACTTTTAGTCCAATATGCACATTATTGTTCACTTTGAATCTAAATGAATGGTTAGCTTTTCCATTTTAAAGTTTCCTTTAACCCTTTCACTGTCTGTCACGTAGGTCTATGTTACTGGGGCCAGGGTCCCCCATGCAGATCTATATCTTAAGCTCAGCTCATTCGGATAAGCTGAGAGCTATAAATTTTTGGCCTTGATGAGAGAATGGATCTGTGTGATGAGTGTGCACAGTAAAAAGAAAAACTGCCCCATGTAGTGCATGATGGGAAAAACAGAATTCTGACCTTATTTTTGGTTTAAAATAATGACTTTGAGGTACTTTCTAGGGTGGTTTTATTGGTATCATTTGATAGAATGGAAGACATGCTATTTAAATAGATGATTTTGGTTGGTTCCAGGACCAGTAGCTTAAAATCAGCCTCAAAATCATGAAAATATTTGATTTTTGCCAATTTTTCTGATGAGTAAGACTCCCTATACACCCCAGTCTGGTTTATGGGTTTTTAATAGTCTTGATTCAGTTGTTGGGACTACAAACCATAACCAATCATTCCTGGTTTTATTTATTGTCCAAAAATAGGGTGAATCTTCAGTTTTTTGCATGATCATGAATTCAAAATAGAAGGCAGGTGTAATATAGGAGAGGCTGGGGACATACTGATGAACAGAGGAAATATTTTAATGCCTGGAATGCAGTGGACCTCCAGTTTTTGTCCAGTCCTGTTATCACACAATTCAGTTTTTAACATTTTTTGGTAAAATTTTCCCCATTTTCATACACCTGCTTGGAAATCATCCGTACCAGACGCGTACGCCTACCCGCGGGACGCGGCAGCTCATACATTCGTGACTCGGTCTGCCTTTGTTACTCATACAGTGAGCATTACTTTGCACATTCATCTGAAATATTTTGTAATAATCCATTGTTTTTTATATTTGCGACTGCTAAATAAGCCACCGTGGGGCCAAAGAAAGTTCAGAGTGCCAGCCCTTTGGTAAAGAAGGTGAGAAACATGATAGAATTCAAGAAAGAACTCACAGAAAAATATGAAAGTGGCGTATGTGTGGCTGAGCTCACCAGTATGTATGGGAAGTCCAAATCAATGATCAGTTCTATCCTGGCAAAGAAAAAAGAAATCAAGGAAGCTGATGTTGCGAAAGGGGTAAATGTACTAACGAAAACAGATCGCAAACAATCGAAGATGTTGAGAAGGATTTTGAAGGGTTTGAGGCTGACCCTGACGACCCTATGCCTGTTGTGGAATCTATTGTGTCTTTGGGGAAGACCATGGAGTTGGAGCTGAGTGGCCAGGATGTGGAAGAGTTGGTGGACGACCACAGGGAAGAGCTAACCACTGAAGAGCTGGAAGACCTTCATCTGGAACAGCAACAGACCTTAGCTGAGGAAATTGCTTCAGATGAGAAAGAGAGAGGGGAGAATGTGCCTTCTTCAGCAGTTAAGGCCATTTGTGCAAAGTGGAGTGAGGTACAAAGTTTTGTGGAGAAATATCACCCTAACAAAGCTGTTGCAAGCTGTGTAAGCAACATGTTCGATGACAATGCCGTGTCCCATTTTAGGCAAATCTTAAAGAAACGCCATAAACAGGCCTCTCTGGACAGATTTTTTGTGCGACAGGGGCCCAGTGACTCTCAAGCTGGTCCTAGTGCCAGTAAAAGACAAAGAACAGAAGTAACCCCAGACAGGGCTTTGATACCTTAAGTCCTTATGGAGGGGGATTCCCTTTCCAAACAATAACCTTTCCTCCTTCTCCCCTCCTCACTGTCTTCCATACTCCAACAAGTGTCTTCAGTAAAGGTAAAAGTGATGTTAAATGTTCATTTATCCACTTCATTAGTCATTTATATTTATCATTTGGAGAGAGGGGGTAAAGGAGGTTTTGTGGGCAAGGGGCTTGGACTTCCAGCAAGCGTGCATGAGCGTGTTAGATAGGAGTGAATGGAGACGAATGGTACTTGGGACCTGACGATCTGTTGGAGTGTGAGCAGGGTAATATTTAGTGAAGGGATTCAGGGAAACCGGTTATTTTCATATAGTCGGACTTGAGTCCTGGAAATGGGAAGTACAGTGGACCCCTGCATAACGATTACCTCCGAATGCGACCAATTATGTAAGTGTATTTATGTAAGTGCGTTTGTACGTGTATGTTTGGGGGTCTGAAATGGACTAATCTACTTCACAATATTCCTTATGGGAACAAATTCGGTCAGTACTGGCACCTGAACATACTTCTGGAGTGAAAAAATATCGTTAACCGGGGGTCCACTGTACAATGCCTGCACTTTAAAGGAGGGGTTTGGGATATTGGCAGTTTGGAGGGATATGTTGTGTATCTTTATATGTGTATGCTTCTAAACTGTTGTATTCTGAGCACCTCTGCAAAAACAGTGATAATGTGCGAGTGTGGTGAAAGTGTTGAATGATGATGAAAGTATTTTCTTTTTGGGGATTTTCTTTATTTTTTTTGGGTCACCCTGCCTCGGTGGGAGACGGCCGACTTGTTGAAAAAAAAAAAAAAAATTGTCATTGTTTTCTGTATGTAAAACTATAGTTATTCTCTATAAAATGTATTTTTTGTTAATATTTTTGGGTGTCTGGAACAGATTAAATGGATTTACATTATTTCTTATGGAAAATGTTACTTCAATTTTCGTACAAATCGGTTTTCTGCTGACCTTCTGGAACGGATTAAGGACAAAAACCGGGGTTCCACTATCTACAGTGTTTATTTTGGACTGTTTTAAAATTGGAGTTTTTTTTTAATTTTGTGTAAAATTAGCCAAACTACTGAATTCTCTGTACTTTTTAGAGTAGTTTTGATAGTTGAATGAGTGTTTTTTTTGTACTAAATCAATAGAACAGAAGGTATATTAGTGAAATAATAAGAATTTGATCAAATTGAGCAATAGAATTGGCTTAAAATAGGACTGATAGTGGGCAAAATCGCTGATGCTTAAATTGTACACAGACCAGTAAATTTGTACCCACATAATTTCTGCAAGTTTTTTGTCAAATTTTGTACTTTTGGCATCATTATTTTCAGAAAAAGATTCTCTACCATTTTAGAAGAAAAAATATTAAAATAATTTTTTTTCTTGAAAAAAGTGGACATTGAGCAATATTAATTTCAGGGGGTCTGTAGAATGAAAGGGTTAATAATACAAATACTGCTGCAAACAATAAATGCATCACTCACTGTTATGCTCAACACCAGTATTCAAAAACCTTGTACATTTATTTGACTGTCCTATAAAAAGTAGACTTAAAACTAGTTGCTTAATTAAGATTGTTTATGTAATCATGTAGACTGGAGTGAAAAAATTATTCACATTATGATACATTTATTCTTTCATTGCAGAATATATGTCACGAGCCCCTGAGGATCTAACAGTTGCCAACCTTTTGGAAAAGCTACGCAGTGCCTATGACTTTCGTTGTGTTCTCTTAGCTTCTACTAGAGATGGTCGTAAAGATAGAGCTTTTTATTTAGGTGAGAATTGTAGTCATTGAATATAGATTAACAAAAATCCTTGACAACTTCAAAATTTTAATGTACATAATCTAAATGCAGATATCTGTACTGCAGACAGGCAGGCAGGCAGGCCAGCCAACTGTGGTTTGAGGTGAAGGGTAAATTTACATTACATTAAAATGTGTGGTGTGGCTGGAACACTTCCTTTCTCACTTTAGTAAATATTACCTAACAGTAAGTATCTGAATTACATTTAGCCAAGTTAAGAACAGCCATTCTAATTGATTTTTATGAATACCACTCTGCAGATATGAACATAGCAAATATTTAAATAAATTATTTCAAGTAAATTATTATTTAGTTACATTTTCACCAAATATATTCAATGTTGCATAATCTATGTTAATTTTGTGCAAATGTGGAGTACAGGAGGTCTCACTTATACAGCAGGTTAGGTTCCAGGCTACTGCTGTACAGTGAATCAGCCTTTTCTCATTTTCAAATGCATATGAAAGTCTGATAACATGTGTACACTGTCATATATTAAGTGAGCAGTAGAGCTAGGCTTAAAAAATACATATACAGTACACATATTACCTTAAAATATTTTCTTCCTTAGCTTGTAGTGAGTGGTGAATATATTGTAGGAAGTCTTGAATAAACGAAGAATGGGCATAATTGAAAACCGCTGTATTAATGAAACGCTGTAAAGCAGGGCCTGCCTGTACTCTTTAGCTCGGTAAAGCTTAAATAAACATGTATATTTAATTACAATAACGACAGTCGAGATTATGAAAGAAAATGAGAGAGATGACTATGAAGGACTTCCAAACCCCATCCACTAGCAGGACAGACTGTAACAATATACTAAGGAAGAAGAGCTGCCAAAGAGATACAGGAATGATTTTCTTCTCAAATACATTCTAAAACAGTGGAATGGTTAACAGAATGTAGAATGCTATAATCACTAGAAACTCTAAGAGACTGTATGATGCAAGCTTACCAGGATGCTGCAAGCTTACCATTAACCCTTTGACTATTTCGGTCGTATATATACATCTTACCCCTCAAGGAAGGCTCCTTGATGCTGGTGAGGGGCTCTTGATTCAGGTAATTGGATCTGTGCTCCAGTTTCCTGAATTAAGCCTGAATACCTTCCACATCCCCCCACAGGCGCTGTATAATCCTACGGGTTTAGCGCTTCCCCCTTGATTATAATAATAATAATAATATATACATCTTACAAGCCAACGTGTTTGACATATATATACCCAAAAATTCTAGCAGCTTCAAATCAAGCAGAAGAAAGCTGGTAGGCCCACATATGAGAGAATGGGTCTATGTGGTCAGTGTGTACCATATAAAAAAAATCCTGCAGCATGCAGTGCATAATGAGAAAAAACTCCGTGTTTTTGTATTAAAACGACGACTGAGGTGTATTTTCATGTAGTTTTTATGGTTATATTCTTGTTTTCGTAGTCACATTTGACAGAATGGAAAACATATTATAGAAATAAAGGTGATTTTGATTGGTTTTACTATGAAAAGGACCTTGAAATGGAGCTCAGAGTAGGGGAAATGTTTGATTTTTGCTGATGTTCAAGAGTAAACAAATGATGTCATTGTCCAATAAATGTCCAACTAGCCATTCTAATATGCAGTCATGAATGGGTTGACATTATTTATACAATTATTACAATATTGCAATAATCTGCATAACAGTAAATCTTCTATTTTTTTTGTTTGAATCAAAATTCAAAACAGAAAGCAAGAGTAATATCAGAGGGGCCTGGAGACGTGACTGATGAACAAAGAAAATGTTATTTTAAAGCCAGGAATGTCTGCATTGTTCATTCTGGACCTTATTTTGAAATTGGCATATTTTTTAATTTGCATGAAATTGGCCAAATTGCCAATTTCTGACCACTTTATTGGGTAGTTGAAATCAGTAAATGGGCAGTTTCTTGCACTCAATCGATAGAACAAATGGAGTTCTAAAGAAATAGATATAAGTTTGGTTGACTGGAACAATGGAATTAGCTGAAAATAGGGCTCAAAGTGGGCAAAATCGTCAATTCGTAAATATCGCTGAGGTTGCTAACCTCGTGAGAGCGTAATTCCATAAGTTTTCCATCAAATTTCATACTTTTGGTGTCATTACCATCGGGAAAAACTTCTCTATCATTTCATAAGAAAAAAAAATGTTTTTTTTTCTTAAATATTTTGCGACACCAGGAGACACCTCAGGATTTGGGGTTGCAACAGTCAACGGGTTAATGCAGCTTCATCAGTAAATTGTTGAAGTGGAGTTCTCAGGTACTCTGTCAGTTACCAATGGTTTGTTTTATCTGTCATTTCTTTATACAGAAGATGATAAGGTCCAATTGCCTGTTCCAGAGCATGCTGTACAGCAATGTTTTGAGATGAGTCATGGTTCTTTTCAATGACCAAGTCTGAAAGTTTGTCACCAGTTTGCAGTGACTCGTGCATCTCTTGCAGTGTCAACATCAGTTGTTCAGGCTTCAGATCCTCATCTTCATTATCTTACGTTCTCTGCAGCTAGGAATTTAATTCTTGCAGCATTTCCTCTGCATTTGGTTCCTCATCATCCAAGAGTTCATTGATGTTTTCTGGCTGCATAACTTCAAATCCCTCACCTAGCAATCTTTGCAGGATTAACAGTTTCCTGAACTAGACTTTCCACAGATGGAAAACCTGTAAGTCATTCATCACACAAGGCCATATTTTTCTTCAACCCACATTTACTGTTTATTTTGACACTTGCTCCAATGCTTTTTTCACATAGGGGAGTGCATCTGCAATGTTAAATTTGCACCAAAACTCTAGCACTCCATTGTCTGTGTCATCAGTTGTTGCCATTAGTTTATGCACCACACTGCCTATGTAGATCTGTTTTATTGATGCCAGCATCACTCGTGTAGATCTATGTTACGAATGCAGCTCCCTCAAATATGCTGTGAACTGTAGATTTTTGCCTCAACATGACAGAATGGGTTTTGTATGGTCAGTGTGCACAGTATAAAAAAAAATCCTGCCCAATGCAGTGCATAATGGGAAAAGCAAACCTCTGACTTGTGTTTGGTTTAAAATGGGTAAACGTGTTTTCTACGATGTTTTCATTGGCCGTTTCTTGTTTTAGACATCTATTTTGGTTAGTTTCAGGACCAGAAGCCTGAAAGCAGGCTCAAAGTATCAGAAATGTTCAATATTTTATTTTCCTGGGGATGGGTGTGGCCTCTCTACCCTCCTTCCCAGTCTGTTTTGCTTTTTACTAGATCTGCTTTAATTATTAGGATACCCTAAACCACAACTAGTCATTCCTGGTTACTATATTTTATTATCCGAGAAATAGGGTAAAATTTAATTTTTCACATGATGATGAATTCCAATGGAGGGCAAGTGTAATATAGGAGAGACCTGGAGATGTAGTTAATGAACAGAGGAAATGTTGCTTTAGTTGCTGGAATGGTCAGTGTGTTTATTTTGGACTTTGTTTTAAATTGTTATTTTTTTGAAGTGTGTATAAAATTAGCTAAATTACAAATTTCTGTGTACTCTGTAGGGTCATTTTGATGGTTGAATGGATGGTTTATTGTGCTCATTCGATAGGACAGAAGGGATACTAGTGAAATAGTTAAGAATTTGGTTGAATTGAGCAATAGAATTTGTTGAAACAGTACTTGAATCAGGCAAAATTACTGATGCATAAATTGCATCCTGACCACCAACTTTGTGTCAGCATAATTAAATAAGTTTTCCATCAAATTTCATATTTCTGTTGTTATTACCTTCAGAAGATTTTCTACCATTTCGGAAGAATTTTTTTTTTAATTCTTGACATTGTTAGCACTTTTAATTTCAAAACTTCAGAAAGTGAAGGGGTTAAAAAATTTTATACATCCTCTCTCCAGTACTTGTATCAGGGATGTCATATTTGGAAGTTAAAAGACAATTTTGAAACTTAGCTCCACATCTTCCAGAAGTTGAGGATGATTATAACAATCAGCAAGGACAAGAACACTGAATAATTTTTATGGAGAGGTACATCATCACTTCAGGAATAAATTGATGCTTGAACCACTCGCCGAATAAGGCCCCAGTTATCCATGCTGTGGTGTTAGACTTCCAAATAACAGGCAACATGCTTTTAAAGCACTGGGATTCTTGGAGCTATACACCAACAAGGGCTTACATTTGAAGCCTCCCACTGCATTACATTAAAAAAAGCAAGCTGTTAATGGTCTTTTGCAGCCTTGAATCTAGGTGCAATTTTCTCTAGTCTGCTGATGTATGTTCTAGATGGTATCTTCCAGAACAAACCTGTAGCATCAGCATTAACCCTTTCAGGGTCAGTTCTGTTGTATCATGGCTTTGAAGCTAGGGTCTGTCCTGTCGTACAGGTCCTCCATCACAAATCCGGCATCATTGGGACCTGTAGTGTGCCGGATTACTGAGTTTGCCGGATTACAGAGTGGTTAGGTTAGAATACACTTAATAAAATAAACCAACCTGACTCACACAAAGTTCATTGAACATCGGCAAAAATTGAACATTTCATGAAAGCAATCAAAATCATGTCTATTTCTGTAATATATCTTCCATTCCATCAAATGAGTCCAAAAAAACGAGAATACAATCATAAAAACCATACGAAAATATACTGCAAAGAGGCGGCTAATGGCCGAGAAGTGAACTCCCTTATTTATCGTCTGTCTTTTTTATTTTTGTTGTACGTTAAGAAGCATCTTTCCATCATACACTGCCCAAGTTTCAATGAGATAGCCCAACAAACAACCAAGAAAAAAAAATAATTTACCAAAAATCATATATGGCAAGCCCAAGCCAGGTACTGGAAATAAGTCACTTTGACTTTTTTGGGTTATCCTAGGTTCTCTATACATACGCTGCTATGTATGATAACCTATGTAACTGTATTTGTATATACCTGAATAAACTTACTTATTTACTTACTTCTAGTCTGTCAACTGAGTACAAGA